TACCGTACCCGACCGTGATCGGTAGCTGAAGGAAAAGTTGCGGATACTGTCAATATGGTACTTACTTAATAGTGCCCAATTTTTTTGTTAACTCCAATCTAAATTCTCGCACATCCCCTTGTTACGACGCTCAGTATTCAGAAGGGTGACGTAAAAAAATAAAGTTGAAGTTATAAAGATGATTTTCTTGATACGTTACGTTGTACTGAAAATTTCGTAACGCTATCTCGTAGAGCTCAAATAGTGGCAATGAGAAAATGTTTTTTTTTCGTATCTGTTCAAAACTGGCATATATCTTCGCAAGTCTTTTCTGGTTTTCTTTACAGCATGATAATCTTTTATTGCCCAACTTTTCCCTAATTTGACCATCTTCGTATGTTCTATATTTTTTTTTTTGCACTCCCACTCCCACTATTTTGTGATTTGAGTAGTGGGACCGTGATTTTTTTGCATTACATGAGAATGAAGGGTTGTTAGGGCTGGTGTACGATTCGAAGAAAGGTCAAAGTTGTTGCAATATTTGATATTGTTTCATTTTCTGATACTCTCACAGGTTTATTTATTATAGTAAATATGATAACTCCGTGGATACCTTGTCGGCCCACTTCCAGTCAGTTGTAATTGCGGGAACATTTTTGTGTATCACAAGGTTTTTAAACTGATAAGTTTTTTATCATTCGTCATGTTATTAAATTATTTACCGGCACCCATTTTATTTTACAAATTTGTTTCAGCTAATAAGTGATATCAGTATATGCACGCCCAAAAACTACGTTAATTGGTTGTGAATCTTGTGATTATGCATATATTTTTATCACAACGATAAGAGCACGAGTTGAACACGTCCGTTGTCGGCGAATATTCAAGGAAAACAAAGTTAGAGTCGTTAAATCTCAAAAACAAAGTTCACATACTAATGTTAAGTGCATAATAATGTCTTCGCAATTGTAAATCACACTGATATAATAATTAATTATTGTAAATGTTTATTTTAATTTTGCCTAAGATTTACTAACTATATAGTTTGACATATGGTATGTCGGAATTGCGTTGTATTATTTCCGATATGAACTTGCAGTTTTCACACCACTTTCTTAATTTTTTGAGAAACAAACCAATTTTAGGTTGCATAAGCAAATAACTTTAGAGTTCTTATGATTGTTTTTTTATAGTTTGAACTATTTTGACCCACCAAGATACCTTCTTCCAAAAAGTAACTTTTCCAAATTTCACTATGAAATATCAAACAACCATCTAACCATCAGCAAAAATCTTGCGTATTACAAAAATACATCAAATTTGGTACTTAGGCATCGAACTGAAATGTGAGAAAAAATCGATTGCCTTATAGTATTTTGTATTATACCTGCGATATAATTCAAAAATAAGGGAAATAAAATGACATCATATTGACGTTATACATCGAATACACTTCTAATTATGTGGGCTGATTATTCGTAATTCCCACGTAATTCCATAATTGCCATGGAAATGTCACTTTACGTTTGCTTATAAAAATCACCTTCTTTGTAAACAAAATGACTTCGGTTGAAATCCATTTGGTGGCTTATTGCAGCAGCAGAAAAAAAGCTGGTAACTGTAAAATTCAAATGCAACAGCAAGAATATGATAAGCTGTTGGCGTGGATTAATAGGAAGCATCTTTCAAACACAGTGTTAAATCTATCGTGCATGCTGTCATATATGAAGGAATTCAGAATTGTCAAAGGAAGGTATTTAATAAATCTTCTACCCTTTCGTGCATTCATTCAAAACTTCAATCAATACTGCGATTAAAAAGTGGAACAGATTTGACAGCATACCTACTCTAAACCACATGATGCGTTTGTGAAACCTTCCAACAAAGGATACGGGCGAAAAAACACCTTTTGCATTTTAGTACAGTCAAATTAGACCAAAAACAGGTAGTGGATCTTGCCGAAGAAGAAGAAAATGACTTTCTTATCATGGGAGAAGATGAGGATCTAGAGGATATCAATATTCTAGCTCCTTCTGTGCAGATTTATGAGACTCCTCACCACAAAGTCCCCCCAAACGAACAAAATTATAAAAATATTTGAGGTTTTTATGCGAAAAAAAGGCAAATTTGACTAACACTGAAGAATTTACGAATTTTTGTAACGCTGTATCTCCAAAACTATTAGACTTACAGAGCCGGTTAAGGGCTTGAATTGTCACAAATTTTGTCTAGTTTAAAAAAGTATACAACAGTAATTGCTTTAAAATCTGTTTCAGAACTAAAACTACCCAAAACAACAAAAAGAAAAATAGAAATGACACATCTGATGCAAGGTATTATGCTAATTTGACTGGACTATTTGCAGAAAGCGATCCAAGAGGCTTTTTTATTTCAGTCACAAATTATAGATTCATATGTCATATTGGAAGTAACGTTACTTACCAACCTTTAAATCTCGGCGCGTTTATAATCCCCTTTTTACGGGCGCTCAGGCGTATTTTATACAGCGGTTCGGATGCGGGTATAATAAAAAAAGGACGTTGATGTATAGCGAAATGTAAATACATATTATACACATACACCTAAATAGGTACAATCCTAGTTAAATATTAGGTGAGTGCTGTTACCTTAATCATTCATGCTGGCCTACCATTATCATATTACTTATGGTAATGGCATTTATATTGTATAAGATATAATTGTGAAGCTTTGAATCTCAAACTGTAAAGGTTTATTAATGTTTTGCGTCGGTTCATAGTTATTTACATAGAAGTCCGGAAAATGACACATTAGTGACGAGAAAGTTCGAGGCCCCTTTAAGGCCGAGTACTTTAATTTCCGAGTCAAGTAATGTCATTTTACTGACGAGTTTTGTATTAAATTTTACCCGAAATCGTATTTTATTATAATTTATATAAAACTTTTGATTAATGTCAATCTGTCAGTGATGACAGGAGTCATTATAGACGTTTAGCAATGTCACAGATGCGGCCGGTAAAGTAACAGGTGCGGCCAGTAAAGTGACAAGCGGCAGGAAACGCAGCTCCTCTGCCTCTGTCATGGAAACTAAAATTTCCTGACAGAAAGTAGGCATGAAAATGAAGGTTTCAGGATGATTTTGGGTAAAAATTGCTAGTATAATCTAGTATAAATAGCAGAAGAGCTACAAGATGACCCCAGCGTCTCCAACAAAAAATGGAAAGGCGCCCAGAAACGGGATATGCGCACAAAACAAGCAGAAAACAATTACATTATGTTTTAAGGCATTCCGAGAATATGAGGCGTTGCGTTAAGTTACCACCTCCTACAGCCTTGGATGGAACCAGCAGGAAAAGACTACAACGAGTGCAAAATTCTTGTCTACGGTTCATTTTCGGCTTGAGAAAATTTGATCATGTCTCCCATAAGATGTCTGAAATAAAGTGGTTGAATATGGAAAATCGCCGTTCCCTTCACTTTTTGTATACGAGTATGTGTCATCAAATCGTTTTAACTCATAAACCACAGCATCTTTATAATAAAATTACTTTCCGAACAGACGTACACCATCTCAATTTACGTAGCAAAGGACTTATGACTATTCCAGCTCATAGGTATCATCTTTTCGAAGGGTGTTTTTCTTATCAAATTGCAAAACAATACAACTCGTTGCCAGCTTTTATCAAAAATCTTTCCTTGAAGCCTTTTAAAACACAAACGCGACTTTATAGAAGTCAAATCCAATGTTAACCAGTTCTTTTAACTCTTTAAGTTTTTAGCATTGGAAATGCTTATGTTTTGTATGGGTATGAATTTACCGGTTTTGCCGAGTAGAAAAAGACAGTGGTGTCGCGTCTAGTGTTGATTGTACCGTACTCGACTGCAATCGGTAGATTCAGGAAAAGTCGCGGATGCTGTCGATACGGTACTTACTTAACAGTGCGCAGGGGTTTTGTTAATTCGAATTGAAAATTGTCGCACATCGCTCGTGATAGTATTACAAGTTTTTATTATACCATGAGTACAAGCATGTTACGCCGCTTATTATTCAGAAAGTTTACGTTATTCCGTGTGAAGGGTTATTTATGACTTTATAGGTTATACGGTTGTCATTTCCAATGTCTCCGATGGTTGCAAGGATTGCGAAATCTGTGAATTTTTTTTATTGTGTTTTTTCTACATTGTTATAGTTTCATTTTCACATTTCTTTAACCAACGCAGGTATACCGTTTTATTTAAGAGAAACATCACTCATTTCGGCATAAAAAAATGAAGTGCATATTGGGGTAAAGTGAAAGAGCAGACCAATTAGTCTGAACTTCACCCTTTCACTATTTTATATCTAATATATCGTTATGCCTTATTTTTCATTTTTGTGTTGTTACTTTTGTATATAATAATGTGAATAAAGGTCATTATTATTAAGTGAACTTTACGCATTTTGAAAGACCATGTGCTATTTTAGACACAATAAAAAATGTTATTGATGCAACAATTCCGGGGGATTTTTTTTAAATTTTCCTCTGTCTGATGTGAAAGAAATTCCAAAATGCATCTATACAGCAATGGAACACTTATCAGTGATGTGGCATTGCATTAAACCAATTAAACATACTTCGCGTGATTAAAAATTACCCACCGTAGGGACTTTTTTCTCGGTCAGGCAACAGTCCCCCTACCGAATTACGTACGTAAGTATTTGCTACTTTTACTATAGTACTATAATACGAAATTAGTGTTACGGGGTGATCTACAATACGTTGTGGACGTTTTTTCTTCTAGCCATGTACACCACTTATAAACCTCGCTCTTTTCTCTTTGCTTAGGTTATCCGTCAACTATAATTGCCTCTCCATTCTGTTATTGCCTTTTTTTTCGATTCTAATTTTTCACATTCGAAAATATTTCTCTTCGTGCTATTTGTTCTAATACTTTTACTGTTTATTGTTGTATCCTTGTTAGTTGTTTTTCGTGGAGTTCACGGAGGCATAAATAAACAGACACTTGTAAAAAGATTTATATTTAATTTGACTATTTCTTCAAGCAGAGACAAGGGAAAATGCAGTTACATCAGTAAGGGCCACTTGGAGCCCCATATTCGTACCCTTTACTATCTCCGTTACCGAGAGTACCTACGAACGCGTGTTCTCCGTCAATATTCGGAACGGGCCATCCAGCTTGTTCCCCTTTTACTCCCGCACTAACTGATGGGGCTGCGTCGTTTTTGTTATTGTATTTGATGAAGAAAACCATAGGCTGCTCTTGCTTAACATTCAGGCCGGTGGGAATGGTGATCGATTCGTCTTTGGGTTTCTTCGTCAAAACGTAAACCAATGTTTTATCTTCAACGTTGGATTCAGGAGCGTGCACTTCTGGAACGATTTGTGTTGCCGGGGCCTTTACAAAGATGATCTTGGTGCTCTTGTGAGATGCGGGTATAACATTAATCCTTAGCTTGGCGTAGAGATCGCCATTTGGGCTGCCGTAGAAATAAACGTGCTTATGTTCTACATCTTGTGCGGCTGGTAAATAACCTGATGACGGCGGTAAATATGATCCATCGGGAAATGATGAAGGTGGCAAATAAGATCCACCAGGTCGACTAGCAACTAATGAAACTAGTGACAGCGCTATCTATAAAAACACATTTACTGCACTTTCCAAAAAAAAGTGTTAGATGCTCACCACAATTACTACCTTCATACTGATTGATGGATGGGTACCAACTTGCCTTGCCTACTCTAATCTTCACTCTTTATACACACAGCCCTTCCAAATTGATACAATTTTTTCGTTAAAGAACGCATTTCAAAATAAACTGATCATGATGTATAACTTTAATGCAATAACTTTCAGTTTAACCACCGTAACATTACATCGCTCTTCGATATAATGGACAATTACTACATGATAATTAACTCAAATTTAAAATTAACATTTATAAAAGTGCGGATAACGCCCCTTCCTCATTTCCGTGTTCGAATTCCTTTAGAATCAAAAATTATTACCAAACTATTTCAGTAAGCGACTGAATAACGCAAGCAAATTTCATCAATAATAAGAAGTGTCCCCATATAAAATACGAGATAAAATATTGCGACTAAAATTAATGGTTGGAGTGTTTTGCTTGGTTGTAGAACTTTAGAAAATAAAAGTGCCTGAGTTTGATCGAAGCTATCGACAACACCATAGGGGCCGTGATGCGAATTATGCCATTATTAATCCCAAGCATACTTTAAAAATTCATCTATTTTCTTGAAAGGATAATAAATGATGTTTTTATGCATAGAATTCTTAGGCATTAACCTAATTTCAAACTGTAGTTGTAAATAACACTTCTTAATTACTTAGGTAAAGTATGCGTGAATGGCACTGTTATTTAAATTAGTATACTCTGTGGTGTGTGTAAAACACCATTCCAGGAAACTTATTTTTACTTTTGTTTGTTTGTGAAAATACAATAACTAATTCTATATTACGACGTAGTAGAATAGTTCATGCCGAAAGTTATTACGTTGTTTGTGACAAATAATAAATAAATACATTTGTTGATTTATTTTATTACAATTCTAATGTATACAGCCAAAGTTTATTTAGTTCAAACGCGGTAGCACACTTCATCAATTCAATTGCACGTTTTATTTCCAAAATACAATCGAATAGCAATAGCTAACCATTAACCCCTAAAGGTGTAGTATTATACATTTACTTAGAAACGTTTCTAATACAGGTTCATTTATTGACTGAATTATAAAACTAAAAGGCTGGGAGATGGTGATGGAACTTAATCAGAGTAGAAGTGGAAAATGACTTTTTTGTTAAATTATCTAAGTATAATCTAGTCAAAAGGCCAATATTATTTTATAAGATGATGATACTCTTCTATGTAGAACTCACGAGATTAGAGTGATTGGAACCCCCATCAACGAATACTCCACCGCCCTAAGGTAACAGTGTGTATTGTGTTTTAAATTCTGGTGATATTGGTCTGCATTTTCACACAATGCTGGTAATGTAACGGTAAATAGTGATCGTGACTGTGCCATGCTCGGTAATTACGCTAACTTTTTAATAACCGCTACAGCCCACACACTTTCATTGGTCAGGAAAATGTTTCCTGGCTTTCCGATGGTATTGTAGGGCCACCACGTTCTCCAGACCCTGTAACGGTAGCTTGCTTTGCATTTTTTCAAATTCGTATTTCATTTGAATGTAGGAAAATTTCCATGTGTATCACTTCATATGAAACGTGAACGCGAGTAGGTCTGGCGATAAGCAAGCGATAATACGAACGTGTTGAGAAAAGCGTCTGTTGTTGCTGCGGCTTTCGGCCGACACACGCTAGCTGCGGGGTTGCGTAGAACCATCGTGAGAGGACGAGGTCATTTCGTTTGGTCCGTCAGACATTACAAGTCCAACTTACGTAAATACGGACGACTGGGCTGGGAAAATGGGAGAACTTTCAGGACAAGCTCCATAGAAATAATGTGCGAGTTTGCGTACAGTTTTTACAGTCGCCCAAGTTGAATTGCGCGATTTTAAGCGAGATTGCCGCTATTACCGAGTGCTGGATAATATAAAATCTTCCGTGCAAAGTTTTGTGAATCGCGGAAAAGATGACAATCGTTGGTGGGTCTGAATTGAAACAGGGCCATATTTTTAAACCCGTGCATAGAATTGTTGAAACGATCGAAGAAAAATACGTAACTCGGGGCTCGTGTTAATAACATCTGTTTGAGTGCAGCGCTTTCGCATACCCAACTGTTATTAATGTAATTAATATTAACTTCACCGTTACAAGTAAAGAACTAAGTGTGCCTGTACAGGGTAATATGAATTTGGCTTACAGTATATGGCGTTATATGGACCCCGAGCTACGATCATGAAATAAATAAAAATGGTTAGATGGTACCTTAATTAAGCGTTTTCAACAACAAAAATTGCGGAAGAAGCTCTCAAATTTCCACAATCTTAATAAAAAGTTCACTTACTTTCATCGAAATGTGAGGTTATGTTACTTCATATTTCCTAATTTATAATGGTTTAATGTTTCTTCGAGTTATACACAAACATAGGACACTTATATGTCTGGACACTTTAATGAAACCACTTTTGGAAGCGCACACAGTATAAATTTGAACGCCTTAGAGACGAAGAAAGTCGTAAAGAGGGTTACAGTTTGCCCTTTCCGCATCGACCACCCGAGAGGGGAAGGGACACGTCCCGCATCTTCCATGGGCTGCATTTTTCTCATCGACCGCCTTGCACGTCCGAGAGGGGAAGAGGAACACCTCGCATCTTCCATGGGCCGCGTTTCGCGTATCGACCGCGTTTTCCGTATCGAACACGTCTTTCGTATGAACCGCTGATTAGCGTCGATCACAAACGAGAGGGAAATAGGCACCTCTTGCACCTTCCTTTCGCGTTTGTCGCATTGACCGCCTGTTCCATATCGACCGCCTTTTAAAACCGGGAGAGGAAGGGGCACCTCTCGCATCTTCGTGCTGTTCCAATTCACTGAAGTGCCATAAATATTCTTTGATGTGAGCCATTTTCAATGTAGTATTTACAATTTATTGAGGATACTTTTCCAATATGTGATTCAAAATAGCACATTCATAAACTCATTCCTCCAAATAAGTTCGTCGATGTAATCGGGTATCATTCGAGAATGTAATACTCGTTTCCGAGAATTTGACGCAAGTTTTGAACGCGATTGACGTAAATACAATACAACATTATCCCGAAATTATCCATACGAGAGGCTAGAGCGTTTAAGTTTCCACTTTTCTGGAGGGAGCCTTCTTGTTGAAGGGAGGGCCGTACTATTCGTAACTTAAAGACACCGTTTCATATTTTCCATTTTCTAGGAAATTTGTCCGATAAAAAGTTCCTCGCACGATTGTGCGTAGGTGCACCTCTTATTGAAACCAAGAGTGTCAAACTTTTGTTTTTTTATGTGCCGTACATCGTTGTAGGTACTTTTTTTACGGGGCATATCAAAACATAAAGTTCATGATGATATCTCCGAAAAGAAACATTGCTTGTATTGAAAATCTCTCAATGCTGTCTTGTAGAGCACAAATAGTGGCAATAATTAGAACGTTTTTTATAAAATGTTTTGTATCTTTTCAAATAGCAGCAGAAAAAACTACAAAGACATACAGTACATGTGAATGTGTAACCATTTTGAAAATTTTATTCAAATGTAGGGGAAAAGCTAGGAAATGTGTTATTGATATTGCGGATATTTATCTACAATTTTTTATATTAATTTTATTTATTTAAATTCATAATTTAAATTTATATTAAAGACTTGAAATTTATGACAAGAATTTTGGAAATGGTTCAAAAAATGTTTCAAAAATGCGTCGAAAATATTGGAAATGTTTCATAAACATTGAAAATTTGGGCTAAATTGAAAAAATTGAGGAAATGTTGTAAGAATGTTGATAACATTTTAGAAATATTTCAGAAACGTGTAGAAAATTTTAGAAATGTATCGAAAATATGTAGTAACTTTGGCAATGTTTAAAAAATTTGGGAAATTATTCAAAATTTGTGAGTATAATTATAGAAATGTTGCAGAAATGTTGAATGGTGGAATTTTAAAAACTGTTGGAAATGTTTCAGAAAATTTTAACAAATTTATAGGAACGCAAAATTTGTGAACAATTATAAATGTTTCAAGCGCTGTTTCGGTGTCCACATTAGATTTTCCGTGGCAAGTGAAAACGCGTACCCTTTACGGCCTTTACTAATGGTTTAGTTTCATTGTCGTAACTCGAGGGTTTAAGAGACCCGTTTAATACATACCCGTCTACTCGAAAATAATGGAAACATATCCTAAACAGAGTACCTATAGCGTTGATTCTCAGTGTAGTATTGTTAAAATCAGTCCATTAACATTCAATGTTATTGTTAGATTATTCTGCTCATATGGTTTAAAAAATGTCCTGAAAATGGCCCCTCGTTATCGTTTCATTTGACTTGTATTTCCCGTTAATTTTTACACGTGATTGATACACTATAGGAATTCATGATACGAATATAATGTTAAAATAAACGAGGTTAATAGTTCATGTATCAATTTCAGTGGTATCATAAGTACGAAAAAATTACAGAATTTCAAAGAAAAGTCAAAATATGGATTGACCTTTGAGCTCTGATGTGCCAAGTTGATGGGAAATAGATACCTAATAATTTTTCCAACGTTAATTATAATGGTACCACTTATAATAAAGCTATAAGTATGTAGGTATCATTTCTGAGCTCTTGTTTGTCAAGTTGCTGTAAAGTTAGCTTTTATGCGACTGTCATAAATGCGCTCGAAAAAGCTTTATCATTCTTGTCGGTTTTTAATGTCTGGGTATCTGCCAAAATGGCGCAAACCGAAAAAAATATTCATGATCTTTAATAAATGCGTGGAGTAAAAATTAAGGATCGTACTACGCTGATATGATACCTGTAACGATCTACTTCTGCAAGTTCTAGTTCAAAATAGTAAATCTTTGTAGGTATAAATAAATAATATTATTGGCAGGTGTACTCGTAGCGTCGGCCGGTACGCCGTATGTGCAAGTAGGTATGATGAAATTTTTTTATAAATATAAGCGGTATGGTTAACCACGATACCCAATATTTCCGTTTTAACCACCGTGCGATTTTAATAAGGATTTGGTTGATGTTATCAGAACTGCGGAGACATTCGCCAGTTTTTTTTTTTATTAAAGCAGTATATTAATTATCGAGCTCACGCATCCGTAATTTAAAGTATATGCTACGTGTGAACTGTATAAAGGAAAGGAACAAAATAATTTTATTTATTTCAATTTAATGATGTTATGTAGGTAAAACGTGTATAAAATATTTCTTCCTTTGATTGTGTATCCTACAATTTCCTCTCCCTGATGTTTGTTGTTAAACTGAATGCGAGTTGCCTACGGAATAAATTTATATTTTGTTAAGCTTTAATTCGCTTTTGCTGAAACCCATAATTTGATTTGCATACCTATCGTCGCCTATTTAGAGTGGCTTTAACCAGAATTACACTGTTTCAATGCTAAAACAAATTATGAGAGTTAGGTAATACGCAATACCTCTCTACTAAGCTAGCTGTTTTTAGGGGAAATCGATGATGGTATCTCTGTTGCACACATATTAAGATCTATGGAGCTAATTATTTGTGACACAATTTCAGTGTAGATTTGGCGAAATGTCCCTAGTACTTAGGTATTGGAGAAGGTGATTGATCGATTACTGTACCAGTATGCAGTGTTATAGAGGTATTCGCTTCTCAACAGACTTGCGATTTTTTTAAAATGAAATTAATGTTTAATTTATGATCAACGTTAAAGAAAAATTGTCTTTTATAATTGTGCCTTAAAATCAGCTTCTGCGTATCCGAAATAGCAATTGGAAGCCCAAGCTTATTCGAGATTGCATCTGGCATTAATGAAACATGAGCGAGGGGAGCAATTTCATTCTAATTTTTCATACATTTAAAATGAGAACGATTTGAATTTTTTGAAATGCGGCAATTTTTGAGATTCGTATTTAAAATTACTTTTATCGCGTATATTGTATGTACCTATATCTTTACACTTGAAAACCTCTCTTCCGGGATATTTCTATGCTAATATGTTGATTCAGTGTCGATACCTACATACCCGTTTGCGCACATATTTGAGCTCTACATCATGTTTGTGGCAATTTTCTATTTCAACCCCTTGATACTTCGGAGTAGGTACCTCTGAACTTGAAGAATGTTGAAATATCGGTCTGGGTTTATTAGTGATATCTATAAATAGAAAATCCATTTCATAAGTAAGAACCGTTCTAATGAAATTAGAAAAACGTACCTACAACTAGTGAAGTGGATTGTAAAATAACGATTTGTAAGTTACATAAAAAACTGTTATATTACACGTAACTTACAAGAGGTCGGCTTTTTATGTAATTTATGCCTTTTAAGAAATTGCATAACATAAATTACTGGTAATTTTACTGTAAAATTACGGTTTTTTTAATGGTAAGTTACTTAAATTACATAAAATACCATAAAAAAACATAAACAATCTGTAATTTTACACGTAATATTACACACTTGAAAAAAAAGTGTCGGTATTTCAAGATCTTATTTCCATCTATTATGATAAATAATGCATATGTTTTAAAAAATAGTCTGAGGCTCGGTCTGAGGTAAATAGAAATTGTTTTTTGATCTTTTGGACCACGACACGACAGAAACCCAAATATCGCAATTCGTAAATCGACCACTAAGTAGCGACAAAGAGCAACTAAGAGGGTTTTGTGCTAATTATTTTTTCAATATGACCGGATATCAGAAATCCGCTTATCAAAAAAATAAAGAAACGACAAATTTCTATTCTCAAAAATAATTCCTCGCTAAAATTGTGAACTTTGCGTAGCGATGTCGCATAAAAATGCCAATATCAATATCAAACTAAAACATATTGATTATTTTGTATCTGTGGTCCTATCCGTCAATTATTTTAATTTGGATTAATCCTACAGAGGCTGTAATCCTTCTCTTTGACATTCCATAACGTCTCGCGCATTGGATAACAAATCGCACACAAGCATTTTTAGCGCATTTTTGATTATCAAGAAGTAGCTTATACTTTCACTAACTGTGGGCTTTTCGGACGGTCTTTATAAATCTATCGAGATCTCATTTACGGAATATCGTAAAACTTCCGGGTTTTCGGAATTATATTCGTACTATCGTGCTATTCCTGCATCGCTTAGTTTGAAAGTTGAAAGCCATTCTAGTCTAAGACCTAGTGGCACATTTCTTAAACAGTTTTATTATTGTTGAAATTTGGATACAAGATAGTTATGTATATGCTAATAACATATCCGCATCTGGCAGCAATTTCGCGGATCACGCGGCGATAGTGGGTGGTCGAATAGGGTTAAACATTGGAAAATTCAAACAGCTTTATTATATTAATGAACCCTTTTTGTGCATTAGTTTTTAAATTACTTCCAACCTATTTTGCTCTGTTGTAGATTACTTGTTTAATGTACACCCAGAAAAAAGTCGAAAGGCATTAAATAAGGAGAAGTAGGGGGCCACATCTGTGGCCAATTATTGCTACACCAACTATCTTCAAAAATTCGTTCTTCCAAACACTTTATAATTGTGGGCGGGAGCGCCATCTTGTTGATACCATACTTTAATCTGCTGTTGAAGAGGCGAATTTTCAAGCGTATCGTCCACAGGGTTATTCAAATATCGAGATATCGAACTCCGTTTTAATTTTCGCCATAAATGACAGCAAAAAACTTGGTCGTTTTACAAAGCTCCACACATCTTGGAAATTTATTTCTTTCACTACGTAAAGGTTTTCCTGTACCCAATAATGACTATTATGTCTGTTGAACATTTCACCTGGTTTGAAGGATCTTGGGACTTTAAATGGTGTACAAGTTGAATACAAAAAGCTTTATTTTTATTTTATTTTATTTTGTCTTTATTTTTAAGTGGGCGGGGGCAAGGATATCAATAACGTTTTGAGCAATCCCTTCGATATGCGAATGAACCTCAGAATCAGAATCGCTCTTATTGACAATTAATAGGTAGGTACTATTTTTCACCGCGAATGTCATAATTGAAACAAACACGATTACCATGACTAATAAGGACACGCTAATTTTGAATTTAAGAGAACGTTTAGATAAATCAAAATGCGAATAAAATCTATTTGGGTCGTCGTAGATTAAATTTTCAATGATACACGTTCGTATTAATGAAACTCGTGTATCTAAAACCACTCCGCTACGCCTCGTGGTTTTAAAAGTAGACACGTTTCATTATGATATTCATATCGAACAGGTATCATTAATAACTTGTGCTTCTGCATAATTGTAATATGAAATATGTGCCGTAGGTATTAGTTTTCACTGTACAACTTTCCTTAGAAAATTGAAAACGTTCACCGGAGATTAGAGGAGAACAAGTGGGAAGCACGAACATGATCCGTAAGAAGTTTCCCATTATGTTAAGCTAAAGAAAATTAATAAACAAAATGGAATAGGTAATTTTCAGTTCAAGCGCTTTTAAACTTCGGAAGTATCTCACTTTACCGCTTGAATCTTCAAAACAACACAGCATAAAATAATTGCGAAAACCAACTGTATATTCCAGCTGTCCATCAGTAGCTAATTGTGGCGAGAAATTTAGTAATTGCTTATTTTGCTTTCCTTCACGATTGTACTGAGTTTTCAAATATGGTACCTAGCTAAGGATTGTAGAGTATTTTAGTCATCGACAATGGAATTTTTTACTTTTACACTGAATACCTAGTTTATAAAATGAAAAGCAAAGGCCTTTGTTTACAAGAAAAAATGACTACCAATACTACAGAGAGCTGGACACGTCGTCATCAATCAGCAAAGCATTGATTTACAATCAATACACTTGAGAATCCGAATCGGCTTGCTTGTCTACTTCCGTGCCACTTCAATACACAATCACGCATTTCTACCTTAATTCCAGTAGAGGGTAGGTAAACTATCGGTATAATATGATGTGATTTCGTCTCGGATAACTTTGTTACGAAACCCTTTGAGACGCGCTTTATTTACATCGATGCGTTACATCAAAGGAATATTATAACAGGTTGTAGTTCAGCATTTCTTCTTTTTATGTTCTTATATTAAAACGAGAGTGGGCCTTATAATATTAAAACTATACCTGGCTTTACTCAGTCATATTCTGCAAGGATTAAAGTTTTTCTCCTGAAAATTACTTTATAAAGCAATAACAATCACCGCACTGTGTGCCAAGGAAAAACTTCAGTTAAGATGATGGGAATTTGGGCGATGTAAAGCGAAATTGTAAATTACAGTACGCGGCATAAAGTAATTGAAATCGGTACCAAAAGGAAAAATACCTCTTACGCTTAGCAAGAGGAAAAAATGATGACGATCTAATTTCTTTTGAATGTTTCCCCTACACACGAATTATTATTTTAGACACAAATTTAATCTCATCACTTCTCCTTTTTAGATAGGAACAACTTCATGAACATTTTACTACAATTAACTTCTTCATTTCCTTATTTTTTATATTGTTTATAAACATCATTATAACATAGAGCATGTCTACACGACTCTACGAGTATGATAAATGATACCATCCTCAATGCTTTTCAAAATTACAAATACTTTACTATAAAATTACTTTTATACTCCTTACCCTGCCGAAGCTTGGCCTCTTATCTCCTCCTTCAAAATCTCAAGCTCTGGTTTCACGCCTATTTCGTGATCGTTCATGCTAAATTTGATCCTTATTTAGATATTGTATCTTTACCCACATAATGAATTACTGGTACATTCTTCTGTGCCACATATACATACAACTCTGAATCCTAACAATATTTTAATCCAACCAAAGGACTCACTGAAATTAAATGTAAAATTTTCAATCAATGGAACAAAATTATCCAAATCCTGCCTTTAGGTTTTGTTCTTACCAATAAATGCAATACAAAATCTGTTTCATGCAAGTCCATCTCATAGGTTGATTTCTTCAGGAATATCAAAATTACTTTTAAAAAAATTATAATGCCGGGAAGTGCGACGCAGGCGTGGAAGCCCAACTGCGACACTAAGGGCTGGTTGACTCTATTTTTGGATTTTATAATCGTATAAACCTCGCGCGAGCTTCCAACAACGGGTCTCAAGGTTGGCGAGCTGTTGAAATCTCCAACCCGTGGTTGTGCACGTCGTGTTACGGTTAGAGTTCGGTCACAAAATTTTGCAAGTGCTCAGTGCCAACCATGCTTCGAAAAGTATTTATAAAACGCAAGGACTCAACCAAAGGTTCAACCGGACTTCTATGAAATCGACCCTAAGGGTCTCCGGTTCGAATCCGGGTTGGGGCATGGATATTTGTAAATGTATAGTGGGTTGGTTTGGTATCGCAAAAACTGCTGTCCTATAGGTACTAAATATATCCCATAGCTGACTCGTCCGTAAGCTTAGTCCGTAAGCTCGTCCGCCATTTTGGGGCCCCCTGACACAATTAAGGCTTACAAAACGTCCTGCATCCCTGCATGTATCGTCTTCTCATTTAAAGAAAAACTATTGATTTTCTAACGTTAACGCACGCAAGGATTTAAGGTGAGATTTTACACATTAAATAGTTCTTCTGTGCACAAATTGGACTGTCAGTGGGTTCCAAATAGCAGAAGAGTCTAGTACCTTAATCAAGTATTGTACGCTGTCCGAATAGGGCTTTATTGTTAACGATACGACGAAACTTCCTTGTTTATCACACTGAATTTCAATGTCAATTAATTGAATAAGGGTAACAGTTGGTGTCAAAACGGATTGGATTATTTCCGTAGATTTTTTATCGGTAGAAAATAAACGGCCTAGTCTAACCTTCCGGTTTAACGCACAATTAAAACTGTAGGCCAATAGCTGTAGCTAATCTTTATCCTCCGTTCAAATTCAGCTTCGTTAGATAACGATAAATTAAATCTACGTTGACTACTTTTCCAGCTATTTAGCAGAATCCTACACTTTTAACTATACCTTAAAAAGTTGTAGTTTAATCAGAAATGTTCCTGTAATTAGACAATTACGTTGTGTCTCACGACTCTTAAGGCGCCTTAATCCTTCGTCCGCCGTACTCATTCGCCCAGTATCATAACAAAATTGAAAAAAAAACACTGGACAGTATCGTTACAAGGGCTACTCACTATTGAAACAAGTGATTAGTGAAACTGTCACTCAATTATTCGTAACGGAAAATGACTTCAAAAAACAACTGAACATTACTTTAGTTTAACACTCACTTCTGCCAAAAATATTGATGACGTTAATTCTAAGACACAATTCTGAATTGAAACGTTAATTCACGA